CAATTTTTTTTATTATATAACCAAAATCTACTTGCTCCACAATAGAAGGAATTGTTTTATTCAGTGCAAGATGATATTGTTTAGATAGCGAAGTTCCAGTTAAGAAAAATAACAATTATGAATAATGATAAAATATTTCTATATAGATCACTTTTTGGTGAAAATTCATTGTCTTCAGATAAAAAGTCTTTCCATCAAATCAATCTTTTATGTAGCTAAAAATATTTTAAAAGATTTTTAAATTTTGGCACATTCTAAATCCAGCAATGCTCATTTTGCGGGCCAGACCCCCTCCGACTGAAGTCAATGGAAGCTGAAAAGTTTGAGCATGCTATTTGATCTACTGAATTTCCACCATGTATAAAAACAATGTCTAATCAGGCACCATCCTGCAGTCCTTGAGCAGGTAGAACTCTTATTGCCTCTCAGATTGTATCTGAAAGATGCAAGTGTAAGAATAAGAGTAATTGAGAAAGCATGACCTTGGATTTAGGTTTGTGTTTTATTTTATATTCGTCAAGGGAAAACACAAAAGGTTAAGACTCTGGGTTCTGATCTCTGATATTTGGCTTGTCTGAGAAGCAAATGACCCTATAATTAATATTGGGGACTTCTGTATCTCATTTCAACATGTTGATTGTATGGGTTAGTGGAAAGTGACATTCTGGGGCATTGTATTGCAACTGCTTTTTGGCAGAAACAGATTTTGTATGATTATTCAGTCCTTTTGATTCTGTTATAGTAGGGTTGATTCTTAAACAGAGGAATTAATAAAACAGCTGAATTAATGTCCTTCACCGAAATGATTCACCTCTTTGAATACTAGAATAACTAAAATTATACTTTCTCCAAAACTTCAACATACACTTTCATAGCCAAAAATGCTCCAAGCCAGTAAGTTATTATCAGTGGAGAAGAATTTGGGATCTCTTTCAGAATGCTAATTGCTGAGGCCAAGTGACATTTTCTAAGGCTGTCAAATGCAATGGAGAAACAGAATATCCCTATTGATCAAATTACTCACCAACAATGACACCAGTGACGGTGAAGAGCACAAAGGCATTCCTCACTAGGTAACCTTTAACATCATCCTTAGTTATGCTCTGCACCTTCTTCTTTGCCAGGAGTGTACGTTTCCGTACTCCTTGCTGAAAGCGCTCCATCCTATTTCCAGATCTTGGATCTTCTCCGTTACTTTTAGTCATCTATATTTTGAAAAGTGATTTCTTCTTTTATAATTTACTGCTGTTAAAATCTCCCCAGAAAGACAGAAGATCTTCTTCCTTGGGAAGTGCAGGAGGAAGCTAGAAGACAAGATATGTCAAATGTCACAATAAGTTAAACTTCAGAGGAATGATTAGTCATATCTACGCATGCAGGCAAATACTCATCATATAACAATCAGACTTGGATTATTTAGATTAATTAATTGATTGCAGTATGTGGTAAATAAGTGCAACGTTTGGTGGAACCCTGATTTGAAAATACAGATTTTGTTCAGATCTGTATTTCTGCATCTGCAGGGAGTGGGCCTGATTCTTCTTTCACGCTGGTATAAATGAGGAGTAACTTCACTGCAGTCAATGGAGTTACAATAATATAAAATGGATGTCACAGGAGAATCAGCTGCTGTATATCTATAACTATTGATCATGCCTCATTTTCATGTATTTAGCAGGCACACATTTATCTGAACAGAATCTGCCTATCCCACCTTTCCAATGAAACTTCTGATAAATAATATCTTTTTAAATCATAGCATTCAGAATATTATGTATTTCAGATGTTTCTAGATAATTTTAATGCTTTGTCCTGCATTGATTTCTCTCCTGTTATATTGCAAAACACAGCAGGAATAGTTTCTCTCTTTACTTACTACTCAGGAGGTATGTCTTTGATAGTAACATTCATCTTTGAAGTGTGTAAGCTACTCTGAACACATCTGTAAAACATCAGAAGATGTAACCCAGTTAGCTTGTTACTTCATGTTTATTACAAGTTCACACTACAAGATAATGCTTTGCATTGACTGGCAAAGCATTGATATGATCTGATAAAAATCACACTACAGATTTGGCTTTAAGATTTTTTTTTAAAGCTTTCATTAAAATAGTTGGGACATGTTCGCAAGATAATCTACTTTTCATTTCAAACACGCTGTAACTTTTTTGACCACTTGAAATTAATTTATTCTGTAATTAAATCTGTACAAAACTATTTTGCAAAGTGGGAATCTGCTTTTCCATAATGTTGGATAACACAACTATGCCTGCTATCTATTCCAGTATTTCTCTGGTAGGGTCACAAATTCATGAATGGATATAGCTGGCTGCACCACTGAAATCCATTCTCAATTATATAGATCATTTGTCTTTCTGCCTTGCTACATCTATTGCCTAATGAGCTTTGCAGAAAGCATTTAGAAAGTTCAAGTTTTAGAAGAAGGATGATTGAAGGGGCTATCATGTTATTTAAAAAGGCAAGAAAATGTTTTTGATGGGATTTGGTCTTGCTTTTGAAGTTAAATATATATTTAAAACTAATATGTTAATATACTGTTCTCCCTGCATTTTAATACATTGTAATATATTTTTAACAAGATTGTCTATAAACACACATTTCCCATTCCCCCTTTCCTGTCTCCCCTCTCTCCATTTTTTTTAACAAATGTATATTTTAAATTGGAAAAAGCTATAATAGTTAATTAGTCTTTTCTTAATTGGCTGCAGAGTAGGGGAAAAGTTCTTAGGCTGAGCTAAATTTATTGTGTATGGTATTTTTGATCTTGGAGGCATGACTGCTGTGTGTTTGAAAGATTTTTCTTAGGAAAACTAGTTTGGAGTATTTTGTAACAAGCTTATAGATTCACCCAACCCCCTTTCCCCCCATTTAACACAATATCACCCCAATCTGCGCTTTTTAAGTAAGATTAAGATCAAGAAAGAACATTCAGTATACCCCCAAAGCATCATTATATCAAATGACCTAGAAAAGTATTTTACAAAGGAAGAGAATGAAAAGCAAAAAACACCAATAAAGTAAACAAGCTCACCTTTTCAAATTCTGCAATGTTCCCAGCACAAAAGGCAAGCAACAAGGTAAATTTCCCAGTAGGTACAAAAAAGATGAAAAATTCAGTGAGCAAGAGAAGGAGAAGACTGACAATATGCATGTGCTCCGGATACTGCAACTTACTATCACTGCAATTTAAAAAAAGGGGAGGAGACTATTAATCCAACTCTGGAAAAAAATAAAAAACACAACTGAAGGGTGGGGGGGGGGGAAGCTGAGCTTCTGGAATATTGATTAATCTTGGCACAGTGAAAACAGGGTTGCTTTCTTTGTTTTCCCCCTTTAGACCACTTTCACGCTTTGTCAGTTCAGCTTCATTAGAAATGCAAAATCAGGACTCAGGAAGAATTGAAGAATGACACACAACACAGAAGGCTGGAAGTCTTTGTGATTAGAGATTCCAAACCAGGAGTCTGTAAAAGTTAAACATAATTATATAACATTATTCCACTACCTTTTCAAAAAAAAAACAATGGTGAAATATCTGAGGATGTTAGTCTACTATAAGTGTTTTGATTTTTGGTTCCAAAGTGTTTTCTAATCCTTAATGACAGTTATTTAAGGAAGCATCTTTCTGTAAGGTGGGAAACAGCTTTACATTTCTCAGGAGTAACTGGAACACTATCAAGAATCGATCAGAATATGATGAGACATAGTTCTTTGTAATTTTCTTGTTACTTGAAAAGCAAGATGAGACTTGTCTGTAGTTCAGTAATTTAAACTCTTTTAGAGTCAACCCAGTTCAGAAAAGATTGTCTCAACAGCACAGTGTGACTAATAAAGGAAAAAGTACAAAACATCCAGCTTTTCCTAAAAAATAAGTGTCCCTTTTTGCATTTAAAAGCTTGCACCGTTGGAAGAATATTTTGCAATAAATAAATAAAAAAGCAGCATCTTTTACCTTTTCAGAATATGAATTTTGATTTTAAATGCTGGTTGAGTAACTGACAGATGCTGGGTGATAAATCATGTTGTTTAAATACTAGGGTCTTACATTTTAGCATATCTTTCATCAGATTCCTGAGATGTGACTCCCTATTGAGAATTATAGATGAAAAGTGTTAAGTATACTATGTACTAGGTGCTAATATTATTATTACTATTTCAGAGGACAGGACTTTCAGTTAATAAGCTTTCTGTAAAAAGAAAAAATATTAAATGTCACAATCATCATACAAACTAGACATAATAAGGACAAATTTAGAGAATAAATTTGATAGGATTAGAATTATTTGCCAGAAATCACACCAATGTTTCTGCTTTCTTATTTAGGGAGTAAGTCTATATTTACCATGTGTACTGTGCCTGGTTTCAGCTGTATTCTAAATAAAATGAGGAGTACATAAAAAGATCTCCATAAAAACCAGGTAGAGTCAATGGATAATTACTGTCTACTCTGCTTAACAATGTTGCTTTTAGACATAAAGAATATTGGATTAAAGAACAACATTTGTAGTTAATTTAGGTCCAAATTCTGAGTAAAGACTGAAGAATCTGGTACTTAGATATTTAAGATTGAGTAAAGAAAACAAACATCAAAATTGAACTCATTTTGAACTGCCAATGAATTGGATGAATGCATATATAGTTTATTGAATTAAAAATTACCTTATATACTATCTATTTTAATAAATGAGCAAGTGATTATAGACAGACTGTAATGTTGCAAATTTATTTTCTTTAACTGTACCTGCTATACTTTAAATTCCTGCCTAAGGGTTCCTATTTATCCCATCAATCAACAGAATGGTATTTTTCATGATGCAGTTTTTAAATGCTTTTGCCACGTAGCCTGAAACAGGGATTTGACCTTTTAGCTGACCTGTGGGCCTTAGTGATCTGCTTGTTTGATTTTCCCTTGGAGGCTGGCAAGCTTTCTATGGAACTTCCCAAATAAGGACTTGATCCTGCCCTCATTGAAATCAATGTTAAAGCTCCCATTGAGTTCAGTGGGAGAGGATCAAGTACCAAATCAGGTGATTTGCAAGTATTTCTTCATTTAACTACTTGTAGATATTGTGAGAATGTAGTATTAATACAATTTTTAAATCTGTTCTTTTCTTGCGAAAGGAAATGAATTTAACATTGAAACCTAATGAGAAAATGGACATTGAGCTGTGTCAAAGTTTAGCATTTTAAATTCAACCTATCGTTCCAGTAGTGCAAGAGTTTTTAGTGTTTCTGGGGAAAGGTACTTAAAACATGATAATGTTAGACTGAAGTTAATCAACAAAGAGAATATAAGAAAGAGAAGGCAGTGTGTCTTGTGGCTAGAGTAGGGGAATGTGAATTAAGAGACCTGTAATCTATGCCTGTCTATGCCACTAACTCACTGTATGATCTTTTCAAATTGCATTAACTTCTTTATGCCTCAATTTCTCTAGCTCTAAAACAGAGATAATACTTATTTCTTTGTCTATGTAGGGTTTTACTGGCACCCATCACTGAAGTATCTGAGTGCCTTTGTGAAGCACTGTGATGAGAGGTTCTATATAAATATGAAGTATTGGTATTATATCTCTATAGATACATCAAACTATTAAACAGCAACCAAGCCAATCCAGCTGTATAAAACATAAGAGATGGAAATTAAGTAATACATAATAAACTTCAATAAGACCATTTTTTTGGATGATAATAATCATATATGTAACACAGATGAGTGCATTGATCCCAGCTGAAATATGCATTTTAACCATTCTTACCTCTAAGCAAATGATCACTGTGTGTTAATGCTGGGTGAATCTCAAAAGTTCTGAGGTTTAGACATGCTCATGAGCAGCCTATCAAAGTCTTACTCAAATTATCTTTTATCAGAAAACCTGGTATGGAAATCTCATGAGAACTTGTTCTCATATATGGTTTTTGATATGTCCTGCCTTTGATCCAGTGGGACAGAATGCACTTAGCACTCATCCATAGGCCTCAGACAACTTTAGAAATGTGGGTAAGTATCATTATCCCGTACTGTACTGGTGGAGAAACTGAGGTGCAGAGAGTTTACATGACCTGTCCAAGGTGACTTAGTGAGTAAATGGCAGAGCTAGGAGACAGATGAAGGCCTCTAGCTTTCCAGTCTCATCCCCTATTCACTAAATCATGGTCCCTCCCATGTTGTGAGAATAGTTTCTCTTGGAATATTTTGGCAGCTTTGTTTCCAGTCTAGGTGAGTTAACGGAAGGGGTAGGATTTTTTCAAGGTTTGGTTTGGATGGAAAATTTAGGGCTTTTTTTTTTTTTTAAATCCAAACCAGTTCACCCATCTCTGCTTATCACAGTGGATTCTAATGTATCTGATTTTTGGCTGATCAGATGTGAAAAATGTACAGTACTGGTGATTAAGGGCCAAATTCTGATCCAGTTATAGCCAATGACAAAATTCTTATTAAAGCCAGTGGGACCTGAAGATGTCCAGGTCCATTTACTCATATGTGCTCTGCATACCTTTAAGAATATATTAGCAAAGATCACCTAATTCTTTATAATGACTGAATGTTTTTCTAAACAAATGCTTCAGTGCTGCTTTTTCTAAATATTGCCAAGGAAAGAATGAAACAAGGAATACAATTTAAATTCATACAGAAAAACAACAACAGGCTAAGCTTACTGTAGAACCATTCTGGGTTTTCTTTCCTGGATAGGAGGTATGGTATGATCATATTTGAAAATGTAAGGTGTCCCCTAACAAGGTGTAAGTATATGCAGAGAAAACTATATGAAGTTTACCTAACTATCCCATGTCTTATAATTGAACACACATGATTCCAGGGAAAATTAAGTTATGGACAAGTGCCAGTCTTGTTTCACATAAGAATTGCTTTAATGTACTAGATACAGAGGAAGCCGTAAAAGGCTGATATTTGCCAGTTTTTCACCACACAGTTGTTTCAGCTATCTCCTATAGCTCAGATACCACTGTGTGGTAACTATTGGCAAATGCTGACTTTTTAATGGCAATCATATGTCAGATTATTTTAGAGCTCTAATTCTGACATGCAGTAGACATGGCTGCATCTGTCTGTGGCTTGTGCCAGGTACACGCTTTTACAGGTATGCTGTAACATCAGGAAAAAGAATGTGTGGCCATTGCCATTCCCTGCAGGAGTGGTTCAAACCCAGTCCTGTGCTTATTACTTAGCTGTATGTGGTAAAGGGAAATCCAATATTTTCCTCTATACTGTACAGTTATAAATAACAAATTACTAGTTGTAGCATTTTGATGGCTGTTTATCAACACCAGTGCAAAATTACATTATCAGACGGTGTCTCCTTTCACCAAATGTATGAATGTGTTTGAAATCCAGCATTCCCCCTTCCATTCAAATCATCATGACGGGCTAGATCAGCGGTGGCCAACCTGAGCCTGAGAAGGAGCCAGAATTTACCAATGTACATTGCCAAAGAGCCACAGTAATATGTCAGCAGCCCACCATCAGCTCCCCCATTGTACTCCCAGCACCTCCTACCCACTGGCAGCCCCTTCGATCAGTGCCTCCTGCTCCCTCCCCCACCTCCCGATCAGCTGTGGCATGCAGGAGGCCCTGGAGGGGTAGGGGAAGGAGCAAGGGTACTGCAGGCTCAGGGGAGAGGGTGGGAAGGGATGGAGTGGGGGCAGGGCCTGTGGCAGAGCCAGGGGTTGAGCAGTGAGCACCCCCCCGGCACATTGGAAAGTTGGCACCTGTAGCTCCAGCCCCGGAGTCTATGCCTATACAAAGAGCCGCATATTAACTTCTGAAGAGCCGCATGTGGCTCCGGAGCCACAGGTTGGCCATCCCTGGGCTAGATTGTGCCCTGCTTGTCAATGTAAGGGAGCAAGGATCCTTTAAGATACTGCAGCATGTTCCTGTGCTGCTATAGTCTGCGCTATGAGCCAGTGTGAAATGGGGGGACAGGGCCCTCATTCAGTTTTAATCTGAACAATTTTCTTTGTAAAATAAAAGGCGGTTTCTTTCCAATAGAAGGTACTCTTATCAGCTCCTGTGAGAGATAGCATGGATTCAGCAGTTAATGAGTACATGGAATAACTCTGGTGCTCAAGATTTCGCAGATGCTGTGAGGAGGCAAAGAACCTCTTCTTTGCTAAGCCATGGCAAAAGATCTTCATGTCATAATTGGTCATCAATGTGAAACCTCCTCTACTGGCAACTTCAGCCATCTCTTTTCACTTCATCGGTTGCAAATAGTCAGTAAGCCAATGTGATTTATGATGGGGAAATTGTGGAAGAGAATGCCAAGGGGCAACTCTATTGATGATGGAGTATAAAATATTATTATAAAATCCTTCTGAGCCCCCAGAAGTGTGATGTTTTGGAAGCACATCTTCTCTGATATTAGGCAAAACAGTTGCTATCTGGTCCGCAGGACTCATATTTTCAGTGATTTGTTTCTAAATTTGTATTTGTTTTCGAATTACAGTGGTGGCCGTTCCCTTGCATTACTGTGTTTCTGCTGACTGTAGCCGGCAGACAAATCCTCTGATTTTGTTTTTACTTCTTTTCTCTAAAAGCCATTTCATTTTAACTAGAGAACATTAAAAAGGTTTTTGCCATGAATATAAATTGTAACTTTATGCTGAGATTTCTGACAGCTTTAGACCTAAAACTGCAACGTTCCTCTTTGCCCTGCGAAAGTTCTCAGCAGAGAAACGTGAACCTCCAATATTGCCATTCAACATCATAGATTGACTGGACCCTCACATACATTGTATGCATGACTGTAGCTGAAGAGGCAACCTTGTTTCCTTTAAATATAAGGAGACAGATCACCACCTCCTAGGATATGCGGGAGGAAAACGTAATGGATTTACACAAGTAGAGAATGCAACTTGTGGCTTTTTCCCCCAGAAAGCATTACATCAAGGGAGTGTGTGTGTGTGTATACACAATGTACAATGAGGTAGTTTGCCCCATAGAACAAGCCGGGGGGTTTGGCCTCCATGTATTAGGGATCTTCTGGAGGTCTCTACAATGGCTGGGGGAGATTTTGGTTCCAAGCTGCCTTGCAGTGTCTCCACCACAGCTTCTGGCAACATTCTGCCTCTTAATGGGGTTCCAAAGCAGCTTCAGGACTAATTAGGAAAGGGGGGTGGGGGTGGGAGGGACTGTACTGCAGCCAGAATCCTGCAGTCTCCTCCCTGTCATGTCACTTAATCCCCATTCTGTTTTCCCTTACCTGTTTTCTTAAGCTTCTCTCCAATCAATTCTAACCTTAACCAGTTTGTTAATTAACTGAACTACTGAGAGTCCCCAGGAAAAGTTCTGCCTGGGAAATGCACACTGCAGTGCCAGCTGTACCCTTCTAGGTCAGTGCTGGCCAAGGTGGCAAGGGAACAGAGCCATAGTTCCACTCCTGCCCCTTCCAGGGAGAACAGTGCTATTGATGGAACCAGCATAGCTCAGTGCATGTATTCCTTTGCTACCCCATAGCAGGCCTCAGTGCAAAGGCACAAGGCTTCTCACCCCCTTTACCGTGGGTGAAAATACCTGCTTGGGGCTGTGCTAACTTCTCTGCAGATTCCTCACAGGATTAGTAGGGGACAATGTGCATTTCCTGGATCCTGCTGCTCACCCTCCCACCTTGAGTATCCCCCCATCCATGGGATATAGAGACAGGAGTCATATGATGCTGTGGAGATAGTGGATGACTTCTCTTCCATGAATAGAAATATCACCAGGGCATGATCTGGCCCATACAATGATCACGGTCACTCTGGCTCCTTCTCCCTTGCTCTTTCCCTCTGTTTCCCTCTGTTTTCTGCCCCCACGAAAGCAGGACAGACCCATGAGAAGCATGATTAAAGGAAATTATTATTTCTAAAATGGACTCATTCCAATAACATCTCTGTATGAAGCCCGTATTGTGTACACACTCTCATTTATGCAACTGCATTTTACCTATAATTAAATGACTTTGTCTAAACTAAATGAATTCTGGGTAGTTTTTACATTAGCAAATAAAATACAAATACAAAGAACACC